AACTTCACCTCTGGTGTGAGTAAGCTTTGGTCAACCGTGAGGGAACTGTCCAACCCGACGAAGCACGAAGACAGAGTCGAAATTTCTTTCGGCGGCCATGCTTCGTCAGACCCGGAGCGATGTGCGAACTATTTTAGTCGGCAGTTTATACTGCATCCTCCATTGGACAAAGCCAAGAATCGTGTGACCATAAGGCTGCCCAAACTGCCCACAACTTGTGCCCCCCTTGCTTTCACTTTCGGTGAAGTTCAGGTGGCCATCGGGAAGGCGAAAGCCTCCAAAGCCATGGGTCCCGACGGAATATGCATGCTGATGCTGAAAAATTTGGGTCCTGCGGGGGTAGCGTACCTAACGGAAGTCCTCAATTTGTCTACCTGCCAACATAGGAGATTCTTATCGGCCGATTACAATCCTTTCCCCGGTAGCGAAGACACTCGGGGCCTTGCTGCTCCCGTATTTCACAATCTACTTGACCCCAGCGAAGCATCAGAATGGTTTACGTAAAGTGCACAGTACAACAACAGCACTTAACGCCATAAACACTCAGATAACTCGTGGCCTTAACCGTAAACGTCCCTGTGAGAGAACGATTCTAATAGCGTTGGACCTGTCAAAGGCTTTTGACAATGTCAGCCATTCCAAGCTACTAGAAGATATAGAGGCTTCCTTCTCTCTCACAGAGGCTCAAACGGTGGTCGGCAAATTATCTGAGTGGTCGACACTCGTCGGTAATGTTTAGAGAAAAATCGAGCAAACTTAGAAAATTAAAACAGGAGGTTCTACAGGGTGGTGTCCTTTCCCCACTACTGTTTAACTTTTACAATTTCAAAGCTCCCTCAACCACCAGAGGTAGACTCGATTGTCTCTTACGCTGACGATTGCTCGATCATGGCGACTGGGACTGGAATTGATGACCTGTGTTCGAAAGTAAACGGATATCTATCCGGAGCAGCAAATTATTTATCACGCCATGAAATTCGTATACAATATAAAGAATTGTCGGTTGCCGGACTACCTGAGCGACAATCTCAGATATATAAATGAAACTCATTCATACATACTCAGGGAAAATAATAGCTTTAGATTGCCGTTATATAGGACTGAAGTGGATAAAATGAACATATTCTACAAAGGATTAAAGTGTTTTAACGAACTACCGCCACAAACAAGAAATTGTGAAACATTGCCAGCTTCCAGAGATCATTACTTGATCACTGCCGAACACTACCTATCAGATAGAAGCTCGGCATAGAAATAAATCCGTTCCAACGGCCGGATTGCGCTGGACCCAATCCACTCAGACAGCTTACTGAATCTGCAAATCTTTACAGAGTCGAAACACCAATCCCCGAAGCACCGTCCTCTTACCAAACAGTGCTGCTCTGGATCTAGTCCATTCAGACAGCGTGTATAACATCGGAAATCCTGATGGAACCGAACCAACAATATGAGAAGTGAGGGTGCAGATTGGAAACTGGTCCTTTCCAACTGCCCAAACAACTGAAGCTACAATATGTGAAGTAAAGGTGCAGATTGGAATCTAGTGCTTTCCAACTGCCCTAACAACTGAAGCAGCAATGTGAGAAGAAAGGTGCAGATTGGAAACTAGTGCTTTCCAACTGCCCTAACAACTGAAGAAACAATGTGAGAAGTAAAGGTGCAGATTGGAAACTAGTCCTTTCCAACTGCCCTAACAACTGAAGCAATAATATAGAAGGGAAGGTGCACGTTCCCACGACAGTCGGGTCTACGTAACCGGAACGACCCAGATTTATATCTGGCCAAGGACTGTCACTCCAGCAACACTCCCTAAAACTCTATGGGGAACTTGTATGCTGCTACAACAACAACAACAACAACAAGGGAAGGTGCAGATTGGAAACTAGTGCTTTCCAACTGCCCTAACAATTGTTGCAATAATATGAGAAGGGAAGTTGCAGATTGGAAACTAGTCCTTTCCAACTGCCCTAACAATATGGCCTGGAACTTGCCTGTTCAGACCACTTGCCTAATTTGCCTGCTCTGCCGTATGATTGGGAACTGCAATTGCGTTTTTTGGGAATTTCCGACCTTGTACTCGATTATTCAAATAAATTGTAGTGGATGGTCGGAACTTTTTGGAGGGCAATTGCATATTTTTATTCTAGCGGCCTAATATAGACATACGTAATATAATATATATAGTTTTTGTATACATAATTCTATATTCAATTGATAATTTTTGCAATTACAATACATATACATATGTACGAATATCATAGTTGTATTAATAAGTCGTAAGACTGTAACAAATAAATAAATAATAAATAAAAATAAACTTTCTCGCTTTTTCACTGCAAAGCGTCCTGTTCACAACCTGGACGAAGGAGGTCGATGACACACCAATTCCGACGGTGAATAATCCCAAAATACTCGGAGTAACATTTGACAGCCTGCTCTCCTTCTCTGCGCACGCAACCGCTATTGTCAATAAAGTACAGAGCCGCAGTCGCTAGCCGGCAGTACTTGGGGCAAAGACAAAGAAACGTTGCTGGCAACATACCAGTGTGATCGCCGGGGTTAGATCGACGAAACAACAGCCCTTGGTTGGGTTAAACCCGAGTTATTCCGGTACGTACAACCGGCTGTCGTGGGTATGTGGGAAGACAAAGAAACGTTGCTGGTAACATACAAGACAATAGGCCGGCCGAATGTAAACTACGAAGCACCAGTGTGGTCGCCGGGGAGTAGTAGGACGCAGTGGACGAAGCTACAGACAGTACAAAACACAGCACTTAGGACAGCGACCGGATGCCTCCTGATGTCACCAGAACACCACCTCCACGATGAGGCGAAAATGCATCCAACTAGGGAGCACCACACGATGCTCTGCAAGCAGTTTCTAGTTGGGAGCCACAGATGTGGCCACCCAAATAGACAGATGCTTGCAGAGGAGCCCTCGCCGAGGCACGTCAGGAGGCATCTATATGAACTGCCGGACGTAGTCCAGAGGTCCATTAAGCAACCTCTGGACCCGTCAGCTCATAGACAGGCCCTGAACGGCATTCACACGGACGCAGCTTGAGTTATGTAGACTCAAGACCTGTGAATGCCGTTCTAGGCACACAAACCCNTAGTCCAGAGGTCCATTAAGCAACCTCTGGACCCGTCAGCTCATAGACAGGCCCTGAACGGCATTCACACGGACGCAGGCTTGAGTTATGTAGACTCAAGACCTGTGAATGCCGTTCTAGGCACACAAACCCCGGGCATTGACATGACGGAGCTCCATCTGCCTCGGGAGACCAGAACGACAAATACCCCAACTTCGCTCTGGCTACTGCAGCAGGCTAACTTCCTACCTGTGTAGGTTAAATGCGGATGTGCCGAGCGAATGTCCGGCATGCGGAGACCCCTCACGACTCGAAACATCTCTTCGCATGCCCGGAAAACCCGACAACCCTAACGGTGTCGTCCCTATGGACTGACCCCATAGAGGCTGCACGCTTCTTGGGGCTGCCGTTAGTGGAACTTGACGACAACGACTGAGATATCAGCCGATCTGGGCGGGGTTGTTGTAGCCGCTACAACAACTCCCGCCCTATAAATGCCATGATCGCAGGCCAATCACCACCTGTAGAACAGGCGGAGCTTCAACTGCCAAGAGAGACCCGCGTTACTGCCCCTATTCGCAGTTTTCACTTGTTCCAAATGCTATTAGCACATACATTGTGTATTGTACATTTTAAATCTAAAATCTAGTTATAAGAATGTTAAATCTTTGTTGCAATATAAGTCTAACAGACTGTAAAAAATAAATAAATAAATAAATATCTACTATTGGCAACTACATTGTTTGGTAATTATTTTACTGTCATTATTTTAATCCTCTGCCAGCATGAACTTGTGTTCGATTGCACTCTTAATGTACATATTTGTTTAATATTTTTATTATAGCAAAAACATTAAGCATATTCAATAAGTGTAAAATCTACGCACATATTTAACTCGCGTTTATTTGATAAAACCAATGATACGTGTACGTGAATTTTGCTCCTTTAAAAAGTAATTAATTAAAAACTGATCTAGTTGTGGAATGCTCACTTTAAGAAACAGAGTACATATACACCCCTATACGCCATCTCTATTTAATTTTATCTTTTTTTCCGATGCGACTTACACTAAAATATTTCCTTTATAACATGGCAGAGGGAATTCTCGGCGTTTTCATATTTTGTGTGAATGACATGTCCATGTTATTATGAAAGTGGAAAATTTATTACTTGCACTTATCTCCGAAAGTTTTCACCCTGATCTACCACAATTTAACTTACGGGATGACGACACTGGTAACAAGTTCACCTAAAAAAAACATTGGACTTCATGCATAAAAGGCCAGCTTAACCTAAAACTATGTTTTTACACTGATGAATTGAGCTTAAACCCAAGAATTTGTACCAAAAATCGTGTCGGAGCTTAAACTCACTTTTAATGCATAATGCCCAATCTCACATTGGCAAGTATGTAATTTTTATAAATTCTCTGAGTCTACTTATTTACTTCTTCCCGAATTCTATTTAAGAGGTATACATAGCGCTAATACACACTATCTAGCTTGCTTGCTCTCCCATTTCATATGCTCCCAGCAAAACCGAGAGGCACAGAGATAAAGTATGCATGCATGAGATAACCCCTTGTGCATATTATAATGCCTAAAGTAAAAGTTAGCACAAATAAGTAGAGTATAAATTGGCATACAATAAATATATACATACAAATATACATATTACAATTATGTATATGTATATATTGGCACCCGCAGCCAAAAACGGTTAGCAAAAACCAAACAAAATTGTATGCCATTAAACTTTTAAGAAACCACAATTATATTTGAAATCAGAGAATCCCAGAAGACGATATTAAAAATCAGAACGATGTACAAGAAATGGAGCACTTACGTACTTGAATGATGACAACGGGATGCAAAAACTAGTAGATTGCAGAAAATCTCACGATTGTTGTTCTTGTATTCATTTAGCAGTCTTTTAGCTCTTACACCTTAATAATACATATATACATACAATAATTTTAGGTATGTACATATATGTATATTTTCTGTACTAGAACCACTATTTTTAATGTCTGAACTCTCCTACCATTCACAAATAGCAACGAGTTAAATAAAAAATATTCGCAATTTCCAGCACAAACATACGACAGAAAAATATAGTTTTGGCAGGTTTATGTACTTTTTTTGTTATTGTTCACTTTCCTCACTTGTAAACACTTTCTGTCCTTAAAACTTTAATACTATTATTTGATCACATTTCCGTCCATTACAAGGAAACAGAAAATTTCGCCGCCACGACACGACGAATACACAAAATCCATTAAAAAATAAACGATTAACTTAGCCGATTGTGAAACTGTCGACAACGAAGCAATACGACGACAATTCGCGGCACACAATAGCAAATCTACAAAAACGCTGGCAATACCGATTGAGATCGCACGAAATGTACAAAACCAACGAATAAATATTTATAAGTAAATGAACAATTAACGAAAAAAATTAGTGCACAACTTTTCTCCTTGCCCTGTGGATTTAGATGACTTCAGCATTCGGAATCAAAAATTACCCACCTCTCTACAACGAATAATACAAACTGTTGACGTTGTATTCAGGGTTCGGACTCCCTAATTTGTAAACCGCACTTAATTAACAAAAAACAAAAACGGTTTAAACGAAAACTTTCGTGTAGATTTTTGGTTTATTTATTTTTATTACACGTACGCATGTACATCTTGTATTAGACTATTTGACTTTTCTCAAAATCTGCTAGCTATTTTTAAAGGAATCTTTAAGGGAATGCTGGAGGAGAGTTTCTTTCAAGGCGAATCTGTACAAGGCGGTGTTCAAGGCGTATTTAACAAGGTGGTGTTGGCCGTATATAAGTAAAAAATTACACTAACAAATTATACGCTGATGTCCATACTGTCATTGGTATGAATTACAACAAACACATCATTTTGACGTAATGGCCTCCACGGCGAAAAACTCAGCTGTCGCCCCAACACCACCTTGTTTAATACACCTTGGCGGTGTTACTGGCAATTTCAGATTTTCGCCGCGGCCCCTCTGAGTGTCAAAATGATGTGTTTGTTGTAATATGTATTCGCCGGCTTTACAACAAACACATCATTCTGACATTAAGAAGGCGACGAAAATCTAAAATCGCCCACGGTGCAGCGAACGGTGCAGTTTTCTGCAGCAGCCTTAATTGCAAAGCAATGGAGTGCACTAAAACGTTTGCTGAAGCAGCCTCAATTGCAAATTAATGGAGTGCACTAAAATGTTCACTGTTCTCTAATATATTAGGTGAAAAATGATATATTTTCGCATTTAGGAAAATTAAAACACGTTTTTCGCTGTAAAGTGAACTGCTTTGGCAGTTTCAACCCGTTCTTCTTTTCGCTCTATTCTTTGTTTACTTGTGGTACACAAATGCCAACGCACAGGACGGCGCAATCTTGTATTTTATCATTCTTGAAAATCGCCAGTAACACCATATACATTCGCTTTGGTTTCTTTTTTTTTGGTCCCCACCGAAAAATGGTGAAAAACAATCGAAAGGGGTATCAAACTACGCGTATTACCACCGGCGTTAAGAATCCGAAGGGGGAAACTGATCTTTTTAACCGTTCAAAAGTTATTCGTAAAAAACCGTTAGATTTTAGTTCACTTTGTCAGTACAAAATTCACGTTAATACATGCATTAAATGACCACATATTGGTATCTAGATGTTCACTATAGTTTACTTTAACTGAATTTGTAACAAAAAATCGAGAAACCTATCGATTTAAATAAATATTAATGCGAGAACAATGTAAGAAAAACCGGCGTCGCATTTATTCTCTTAGTTGCAGCTAGGTGTAAAAAAACATGGAGGTGCTTGGTGTTGGCAATATACTACTTTTAGAGAAGAGGCCTTATCATGAGTTTCATTTTCCCCGAACCGGTTCACTTTTCACTTTTGGTTTCCATGTCTTTACTATGGGCGGATGACAAACTTTCGGATGAATTTTTTTTTTGCGAATCTCAGGATAAGGCAGATTACTTTAGGACAAAGTTTTAATTAGTGATGCCTCTGTGGTGTAGTGGTAAGCAGTGCGCGCTTCCACTCCGCAACGCCTGGGTTCAAGGCCTGGTCAAAGCAACATCGCAAAAAAATATAGAAAAAGGTTTTTTCTTAACAGCGGTCGTCCCTCGGCAGGCAATGGCAAACCTCCGAATGGATTTCTGCCATGAAAAACAGCTTCTCATAAAAATACAATCGCCGTTCGGAGTCGGCGTAAAACTGTAGGTCCCTCCGCTTTGTGTGACAACATCAAGGCGCACGCCACAAATCGGAGGAGAAGCTCGGCCAAACACTAACATATGTGTAAGCGCCAATCTATTATTATTATTATTAACAATAAATGAGAAAGCCTTTAGTTTTAGTAATTATTTGAATAATTTGTATATAAATAAAATCTTTCTACCAGAAAACTCATGTACGCAGAAAGAAGTTCTGCCCTTCTTCTTCGGCAACACAAACGAGAAGTCTGCGTAGTAAGGGTTATGATCCCTAAGCGCGGTTGAAGCCCGGCTACGCAGTAAGACGTTTTTCCACTCTTCTCCGGCAACAAGGAAAGGATAATTCTGCGTAGTAAGGGTTATGATCCCTAAGCGCGGCTGAAGGCCGCCTACGCAGTAAGAAGTTTTGCCACTCTTCTCCGGTAACACAGAAAGGAGAATTCTGCGTAGTAAGGGTTATGATCCCTAAGCGCGGCTGAAGGCCGCCTACGCAGTAAGAAGTTTTGCCACTCTTCTCCGGTAACACAGAAAGGAGAATTCTGCGTAGTAAGGGTTATGCCACACTAGTTTTGCCACTCTTCTCTGGCAACACGGAAAGGAGAATTCTGGGTAGTAAGGGACATGATCCCTAAGCGCGGCCGAAGGCCCCCTACGCAGAAAGAATATCTGCCACTCTTCTCCGCCAACACAGAAATGAAAATTCTGCGCAGTAAGGGTTATGATCCTTAAGCGCGGCCGGAGGCCGCCTACGCAGAAAGAAGTTCAGCCACTCTTTTTCGGCAACACAGAAAGGAGAATTCTGCATAGCAAGGGTTATTTTACCTAAGCGCGGCCGAAGTCCGCCTACGCAGAAAGAAGATCTGCCACTCTTCTCCAGCAACACAGAAAGGTAAATTCTGCGTAGTAAGTGTTATGATCCATAAGCGCGGCCGAAGGCCGCCTACACAGAAAAAAGTTCTCCCACTCTTCTCCGGCAAAACAGAAAGCAGAATTCTGCGTAGTAAGGGTTATGATCCCTAAGCGCGGCCGAAGGCCGCCTACGCAGAAAAAAGTTCTGTCGGTTTTTTAATTGTAAACAACTTAAAGTCTTTCACATTTATTGTTATTGGCATTAACTAAAACCTCCTGCTTTATCCTGAGTTTCGCCCGAAAAATTTTCACCCGAAAATATTTATTACGCCCATAATAAAAACATGGAAACCAAACGTGAAAAGTGAACCCGTTCGGGGAAAATGAAACTCATGATAAGGCCTCTTCTCTAAAAGTAGTATATTGGCAACACGAAGACCTCCATGTTTTATTACACCTAACCGAAACTAGCAGAATAATTGCAACGCCAGTTTTTTGTACATTGTTTTCGCATTAATATTTAATTAAATCAATAAGTTTCGTGGTTTTTGTTTTACAAATTCAGTTAAAGTAAACTATAGTGAGCATCTAGACCAGAACTGGGCGGCGCCTGCCCGGCGGGCATATTCCCGTATACATCCCTGCAAAAATCATTGGATCATGTAGTCTATTTGTGGTAAATTGGAGTACTTACAAAAGTGTTCCTCTGTCATGCTGTAGCGGACCAACTCGTGTCTCTGCGCCAGCTTATTGTTTGTTATCCGATCACTGCTTGTGTTTTAACGAAATGTGATTGAAGTTGAGCATTTGAAAGCACATTTGCATGTCTGGCTGTAGCTGAACGTGAAGAGATGGTCGCTGTTAGTTCTTAGCTCCCAGCATGTTCGGGTTCGAATGCCGTCAGAGGCAACATGTAATTTTTAAATTTTGTCTTGTTTTTTATTAATTTCGAAAAAGCATTTGAGAAGTGAAGAACAAACGCGTGTACAAACGAAAAAATATAACAACAATGCCATTGTTAATATGCTGGAGTAGTTTTGTGCTACTCTGATGTAATGCAGGGATGGAGTATATGGTCCTGCCCTAGGACATCGCAATGTTAATTGGACCATATTTTTAATATGAATTGTGGTTAATTTTGGAGTACTCCTTGGTCCTTAGGGAGTACTCTTTACACGCATGCATGGAGTAGTCGCGATTTTTGCAGGGATACACGCTCTTCTTTAAGGCCCGTCCACATAGAACTTTGGCGTTGCGTTGGCGTTGGCGTCGCTTTAACAGCTGACTATGAATACATGAATTCAAATGCAGCCGTCAACATAGCCGAAATTCGACAACGCTCACGCCAACACAAAGCAAAAAGATGGCCAACTCTCAACTCTTCGCGTACGTTGCTCGTCAGCTGTTGCAAATAAATACAATTATGTGAAATATTTTTCCTTTTCAATCAAGTGCGGGCAAGAAATATCTTTTTTAGTGCAATTATTGATATGAAATATTAATTAATCTCTCGTTAGTATGTTAATTTAGTGGCCCAAGCATTCGCTGCCCAACGTTCATTGTAGCAAGCATACTTTTAACGTGCGTTCTGTCAAACCAACTCCAACGCCAAAGCCAACGCGAAAGTTCTATGTGGACCGGCCTTTAGAAAGCAGCGAAAGCTTCATTCAACCGCACGACTTGTTCGCACGCACACAGTGATATCAATTTCTCGCACACTATAAAAATTCTCTGTCGAAGCTGCCCACCTCTGATCTAGATACCAATATGTGTTCAATTAGTGCATTTATTAACGTGAATTTAGTACTGACTAGAGGTGGGTAACTCAGAACTGTGCTGATTTACTGTGCTGACTCTTAGAACTGTGCCGCACGCTCAGACTCACTTCTGAAAAAGTTTTTAACTCAGTAACTCAGTTTATGTGCTGACAATGTATAGCTCAGTGTGCTACAGAGTCGATATGGTAACTCAGTTGATGTGCTGACACTTGCATAGCTCGGTGCGGCTTGCATTGTTTAGAACTGTGTCGATGTGGTAACTCAATTGATGAGCTGACACATTCACACAATACGATCTTCCAAAAAGTACCATAATAGATGGCATCACTAGACTAACCATCAATTGAATATACGATTTCCAAATTTAACAAGAAGCAAGGCGAATAGCCCAGTTATGCATACTTGCACTGTTATACCATTTTTACGTTAAAATCAAAACCGAACAGAATTCTACATGTGAAGTGCTATGCGTTGGGTAACCGCTTACATGCATAGCCCATTTAACAGATTCTTGTATGACAACTCTCAAGCAAAGCTAAGTATGCATAACTGGGCTAGAAGTTAATACATCCAAGGGGAATTATTTTGCAAATGAACTCACCAGTTGAAATCAGCTTTCTAAAATTTTGCCGGACAGCTACGAACAGAAGCTAAAGATAATCTTTTCTAAATCGATTTCGATTACTAACATCATCAAAAATTTCGATGTACATACCAATTGTGCGATAGCACACTTGTGCCAGCTCACTGTGCTGACTCATTAAAGTGAGTTGGAGTTACTGAGTCAGCACACCAAAATTTACAGAGTTACCCACCCTTAGTACTGACAAGGTTGAGCTGAATGAAACAGTTTTTTTGCGAATAACTTTTGGAAGGGTTACAAAAATTAGTTTCCGCCATTGGATTCTTA